TACTAAAAAAGCATGACATATTGGTTACACCTGTTTTGTAGAAAAATAAAAATGAATCATTTTATATAATATATATATTTGTTTTTTTTTTTTTTGTTTTTTAGACAAAGAAGATACAATGATCGTTTTACAAGCAACATATGTTTCATAAGCTATCTTTTTTTTAAATGTCTATCTAATGTCATTCTATCTTTAGAAAATATTTAAAAAAGAAATTGACGAAAATAATTGCATATCTTTTTTTTTTCTTAATATGTATCAGATAATGAAATATCAGTTTGTAATTAAATAACCATTATATAATCGATTTTTACTTGATCTGCAATGTCTCCAATGTCTTCATCATCATATCATGGCTTACGTTTCTTTAATTACTGACGGATAATATCTATATCAAAAGATTTTACGCATGAATCATCTATTACCAAGCAAAACTTATACATGACTAACAGTGAATCATGACATTCAGTAGTCGATCAATGATGATAATACCTATGTTCACGTGTTTTTTTCCATATATACCGGTCTATATAATAAAAGTCTATGTTAAAACGTAATTATAATACATATTTCCTATTTTATAATGACGCAATAAATGCATTTTTGTTTAACATGATTTTTTAACAGAAGTGTACAATCGAAAGAGAACGGAGAAAAAATATGCATAGAAAAAAAATACGAATAGTGATCATTCAAGCATGCATTAAATAATAACCATCATTGATAACTAGTAGAAGGTATATACCACTTATAGAGCCTTGATAGCAAAAAAAAAACATAACAGACGTGAAAAAAAAAGTTTTTAATGATGACGACAACTGTACACTCGAATCCTGTTTATCATTCAGCATCATCAAGCCAAAATTCATCAACAAGAAATGTTGTACTTCATAAAGGACCAGATCAAAGTGGTTTTGGAATATACATTGGTGAAGATATACCATCGGGTCTTTATATAGTCACTGTAGACCATAATTCACCTGCAGCAGATGCTAATATTCAACCGGGTGATCGTGTTCTAGCTATTAATGGACAGTCAGTATCATCTATGACTAAAGATCCAAAAGAAATACTTTTTCAAGCTGCAACTAATAATCAACGTCTAACTCTTACAATTCAGTCAACAAGTATATTACAAACACTTAATATGCCATTAACAAATAGTTATAAACCTGATGAAAATTTTCATAAACAACAAACATCATCAAAACGAACATTCGATAAAAATACAGACCTTGAAAGGTAAATTTCTTAAATTAAAATTTAAGAAAAATTCTTTCTTTTTTACAAAATTTAGTTATCTTAAATCTATATTGGGTAATGACAATATTCAAATAGTACCATTACCAAATTCATTATATAATAATGAATTCATTTTAAAGTCGAATTCATATCCAAGCCATCGTTCTCGTTCAAAAGGTCGTAAACATGACCATCATCATCATCATCATCGACGTCATCCAAAAAGAAAAATTCTTGAAACAAAAGAAACTCAAACATCAATGGATGATAATCAAGATGAAAATATATTACAAGAACAACCAAATGCACTATTACGACAATATCCATTACAACCAAGTATGGGTACATCACAGCGTATGTTACGTACACAACAATTACCTTCAAATGATAATCTAATAAGCGAACCAAATGATAATCTAATAAGCGAATCAAATGATAATCTAATAAACGAATCAAATGATTCTCAAATTTTACCAAGTAGATAATATGCAATCTGGAAAATTTTGTTTTTCTTATAATCTTTTTTTTTTCTTTCGCTAAACAAAATTTCAGAATCGAGGAGTATATTATCATCTTTCATGCCAGAGATTAAATCAACTGAATCAACAACAAAAACTCCATTACCAGAAATTTGTTGAATTAAATTTAAAGAAAAATTTTCTTATATAATATTTTTTGTTTTTAGCTTCTACAGGCCCAGTTTTTGGTGCTGTACAATCTCCAGCACCAGATAGAAAACCTAACAATACAATTGGAAATATTCGTTCTCCAACAACACAACATATGACTAATGTTGTTGACGCTGCTGTAGCTGCTTCACGTAATAATCGTGAACGTCTGTATCCTTTATTTTTTATTGTCAGTCAATCATTTTTTCCTGTTTTGTTTTTAATTTAAGCAGCTAAAAAACCCGAAGAAATTTTCACTGGTCAACCAGTTAATGTTACTAAACAAACGACAGCACCTCCACCATATCAACCATCACCTTCTATTAATAAACGAACTGATGAACCAATACAAAATCAAATTTCACCGCTTCCAAACATAGCACCAACTTATACAAATACACCAGCAAAACCAGTTGATAATCCAGTATATACTAATGAAGGTTCATATAATGTTCGTAATGCTCAAGAAAATCAACAACAAACAGTAGCACCAAAATCTGACATGGATATGATTCCATCATCAATACAGGGTGAAGGGGTGCATGTTGTACATTTACGTCGTGCAACAAATTATGAAGGTTATGGTTTTCATTTACAATATAATAAAAGTTATTTTCTTGTTCATAAAGTTGAAAATGATAGTCCAGCTGCTAAAAGTGGTCTACATGTAAATGATGTTGTACTTGCAGTAAATCAACAATTAACAGGCAATATGACTCATCCTGTGTTTGTTAAATTAGTTACTGAGAGTTCAAATGTTGATTTTACTGTTCAACCTGTTGAACAATATTTACGTTCGAATTATCGACCAAAACCAAATGTACAATTGTCACCGCCACCACCTTCAATAAATAATAGCAATAATAGCAATAATACCAATAATACACGTAAATCAGGTCTTTCTAGAGCCTTGAGCAAATTAACAAGTCGTTGAAAAAAGAAAACAAAAGATTTTTATTTGTCTTTTCTGTTTTTCTTATTTAAATATTTCTCATGTGAAATATTTTGAAAAATTTAACAAGTAAAGTAGAAAGTTTATTTTGATGAAAGTTTTTTTTTTTTGTATTATGTTGAAAATCTAATATAAATGTGAAAGTAACTATATTCTTGAATATGAATGCAATTTTATAGCTAAAATATATATATATTGGTTCATTTATTAGGGAACAGTAAATGAAAAAAGAACCTATTTAGTTCATTTGCAAAAGAGCATGAAATATCAAGAACATTGTATCGAAAATTTTGTATACGAGTACGTTAAATATTTCTTCCAACTAGAGATGATATGTTGGGTCAATTTTAGTCACGGTCATGATCACCAAGATGATTAGAAAAAAAATTTGTTGAGGTTAAGGCCACGAAAAAGAAAAGTTGCTGAGACCAAGAACACGACTGCGAGAAAAAAATTGTCCCAATCTGAACTAAAGATTCTAGTTAAATATTCTATGGTTTTAATCAAGTATCAACAAATGAACAGATGTGATACGAATAAATTCTGGAATAGTTTTCTCTAGATCAGGATTGAAACACTAAAGAAACTAAAATCACTCGGATTGGAACCACAAGTAAAGAAATTGCCAGAAAATGTGCCCTAGGACATCTCTATTCTCGACTCAATAGCATGCCAATTACTTTGATATTGATTTAATGTAAAGAGAGTTATGAATGAATGATAAATAACTTTGGAAGAAAGAATTTTGTAAAAATGAATCAATCCCTTGCCCTATCAAGTTCATGAACAGTTTTAAGAAAAATAAGACTATTATTTTGACATAATTTTGATCTTTATGCAACCAAAACAAAAAAATAATAACATGAATTTTCTCATTGCATCATGATAGATAATATAAACCTGTGAAGCTTTTATCCAACTATAATGTACGAATGCTGTCATTAATCTACATTCATAATAATATAAATCAGTACGAATTTCCAAAACAATAAGTTTCTTATAGAAGAATAAACAACATATTTATTTTTTTTTTCATATTTTTTGTACTTTTAGAATACAAAAATTTAAGATATAATAACATTTTAAAGTAGAGTACTGCACGGACACAACTTTTCTCATCGATACCCGTACCAAATCAGCAGATTGCAATACTCTACTTTATGAACTAAACAAAAGAACATAGATATTCGTAACAAAAAAAAAAATCTGACAAACTATAATATATTCGATTAGATATAAAAGTGATACTTCTGTTAAATGTCATTTACTATCTGGATAATAATCATAAGAAAAAACCAATCCTTCTGTGAAATAATAACAATCAAGAACTCCTTTTTGCCCTTTTGATGTAATCTGATATTATATGAAATAGATTGATTTGATCTTTATTGTATTTACAAATGAATAGAGCAATATTTACTTGCAACAATATCGAGCAATTAGATTTATTATTATATTCAAAAACTGTTCAAATTTCTTTCTCATATTAAAATTTTTTATATAATGATTGAATTGAATTAATTTATATAATAGTCTTAAAATATGTCGAAAGTTAATAATAGATGGTATATATATATATGAGATATGTAAAAAAGAATTTTTATCGATTATTTTTTTTCGCACCTCTCTCCGCAATGTATTCAACTTATTTCATAATCAGTTATCAAAAATCATACATGTTTATGACAACTATTTCTCTATAGATCATCAATAATTCTCATACGATAACTTTAGTAGTGACATATAAATGCTTCATCATGTAATCAGATGATTAATAACATTCATTCATGTCAATGCAACTTATCAGTGTTACTTGATATTTTTCTATCTTAGTTATTATACTTACATAATCATATAAATACAGATGCTTTTTATATATAAAAAAAGAACTGTATAGATATATACTAATGTAATATCGAATAATCATTAAATAAGAGATCATATTTCAAATATTCTTAATATAGACCAAGTACTTAAATTTAAAAATAGTTTCGAAGAATAGTTTTTTTTTTTTTGTGTGTTTACATATCTTTTTTGTATAAAACAAGAAAAAAGAAAACGACAGATCCAAAAAAAAAATGAGAAAGAGAAATGGCGAGAAAGATATAGACTGTGTATAGAAAAGAAAAACAAACAAACGAAAACCATAGCCAATGTATGTTAATCGAACAATAAAAATGAACTGAAATGCACACGTGCACACATTCACTAGCTAGAAAAGAATGCATTCCCGAATAAAAAAAAAAAAAAAAAAAGAAAAACATAATATATATATATATATTATTCGATATGTATATTTGTTGCTAAAATTTCTCCTGTTGATGTTGTTTGACAACCTTGAGATACATATCGACCTGCGTCATCAAATTGTTCACGTAATGATATTGTATTTTTTCGTTGTATAACTTCTTGTAAATTACGTCGAAGTACTTCAGCATCAAGGCCACCGACCATTTTAGGTAATGGACATTGTTCTTCATTAACGGGTGGTAAACTAATACGACTATGTCGATTAGAATTTATTGAATTAACAAGAGATATTGGTGATAATTGTCCACCATTATTATCTATTGATTCATCAAATCCACTGTTATTCATATCACTACCTATTTGATATATATTTAAATCTTGATCAATAGTTGCATAACCATTTGATGAATTTGTATAATTTTCAAAAGATGGTGGTGATATATAACCACCATTAGCCGATGTTATTGATGATATATTATTTGTACTTGCTGAATGTACAATTGTTGGACGAACATTTTGACGTGGGCAAGTTTTTAATGATTTCCATTTAGTAGAACCTATTAAAGAAAAAAAAAGGAAATTATTTTTAATATAGTATAGAAATAATTTTCTTGATAAAGACAGTTTTTCTATTTAAAATAAAAAAATCAATAATAATAATAATAATAGAGCTTTTGGATCAATTGATTCATGTTTAATATCTTGTTAAAATGCCACTGTTTGCCTATTTATGCTTCAAATAATTGTAATTTTGATATTGAAAATGGATTGATTGATTGATAATTTTATATAATTCATAAAATAAAACCTAAGTCCAAATTGTAGTTTCTAGATATGCGGAAGTAAGATTTTTTCTTTTTTTGAGTCTCATTCTAGATAAAACTATTCAAAAAAATTGATTTATATAACATCTAAAAATATTCTTCAATACTCGTTGATTTCTTTTTTTTATTTACTTAGTCGACGCCTAGCATAGTTTTAGGTCATCTCTCTTGAATTATGTCTTCAATAGTATAGTTTATAAGTTAATTTGATTAAAACCATAGAATATCTAATTTCAATCATCAAGATCATGACTAAAGTTATTCATAGATGATAATTTTAAAAGATCGATTATAAAATTTTCAAAAGATTTTTTTCCATTTGTTTGTTTGATATGAATAATCATATTAGTATGTTTTTATTACATATTTTAATTATAAGTTATTAATCAAGAAAACAAAAAAATCCTCTTATTTACCTTCTTTTGGGCCAAGTATAGCAGTAAAATTCATAGTATCGCCGGGATTAACAACACAAGTAAGATCATTAAATGTTTCAAAATGACATGATTGTATATCGAAAAAAACTTGTTCATTATTATCCATATTTAATATACCATATTTAGGAAATATTCTTATAACAACACCTGATGCATTTATTGCATTTGTTGATTGTTGAGATAATTGTGTTGATGATGATGTTTGAAGATTATTATTATTATTATTATTATTTGTATTCATCGTATCATTTTTATTTAATAAAGCTCGTACAGCATCGGGTTTAACACTAACTGTTCCATCCGTATGTAATTGAAAAACAGCATTATGTCGTTTAAAAAATAAAATTAAATCATCACGTGTAAAACCAATTATTTGTGTTAAATAATCCGGTGCACGTGCTATTAAACTAGGTACACTTTGAAGTAAAACACGACCATTTTTATGTAATAAACGCATAACATAATGAACAGCTTTAACTTCATTTGGTGTTAAACGTTGATTTGAATTTCGTGTTATTGATGATGTTAATATTGTTGAATTTGTTCCACTTGTTGGTGTACTTGGCATTGAATTACCACCTAATAATGTACGTGTACCTGATTTAAATGATGTTGAACGTGTTAACATTGAATTATTTCCACTTGTAGTTAATAATGTTACACGTCGTTTTGGTGGAGGTGATGGTGGTGGAAATAGTATTCCAGGTAAATCAGCTTTACCCTAAAGAACAAAAAAGAAAAAAAATCTTTTAATCTTATTTTGAATTTAGAAATTAATTTTATATTTACTTTAAGACCACAAAATTCATCACGAACAATAAAAATAGTTGGATAACGTAAAAGAAATATTTTAAATTCATTTTGTGGTCCAACATATTTTCTAACATCAGCTGATGCTTGAGATGCATGTCCAGCAACACTAACTATAGGTAACCATTCTTCTTCACGTTTACTTAATTGTTTTTTAAAAAAATTTATTGCTTCTTGTTCTATTTCACGCATTGTTTTAGCATCCCATACTGTTTCATTATTATTAGTAGCATTATTATTATTATTTGTTGATGTTGTTATAAAATCATTTTCACTCGCCTCATTACTTGAGGCGGGTGATGTTGATAATTTTGGTCGATTATGATGAGTTTTTGATGATGAATTTAATGTACGTACTGGTGTTGCACTATTTGCTGATACAGTATCATTGTTTACAGTAAATAATGATGGATATCGAAGCAAGAATTGTTGTAATCCTTGCTCATTGCCACCAACAGCACGTAACATTTGTGGTGTAAATGTACGATCAGCGAAGCTATCATAAAGCTTCACAATAGGCATGGCTTGATTATTACGAATGAGCACATCAAGAATAAATAGAATGGCTTGATGAGCCACCTGAACAAACAAAAATAAATAAATACATATATATATGAGAAAAAAAAAAAAAAAAAAACTTGCCGACGGCTCATCGATTGCTATTCCATGCGTCTTCTCGGCAGATGCCACAGAAGCCGATATCGGCGTTGTTGTTGTTGTCGTCATCGATAATGGAGGCGATGTTGCTGTATTAGGTGTCGTTGGCAATGAAGACATCTCCTCCTCTTTCTCCTGTAAGAATAAAGATGACATTGTCTTGTCAAATTTTATATTAGCAAGAAAAATCATATATGAACTCTATATGAACTAACATGCAAACTATATTTAAAGGGTTTAAATTGGTCACGGATGAATGATGAAGTTTATTGTCTTTATACTTAATGACACTTGTTGATATACATATATATTAATTAAAGAACTCTCATATTTCAGTCTTCATTTTTTTTTTCATTCATTCACTTTTATCGAACGATAACGGAGAAGGATTATAATAACGGCAAAGCTCGACTACACATGATGGTGGCGTGTATGAGAAAACTGCTTCGAGAAGATTAGTTGTGCATATATACATACACATACACATGCGTCTTTCTTTCTCTTCCTTTCTCTCCATATCGACTTGCTAGCAGCTACTTCTGAATAACACATATATACATACATATATACAAGTATTTCCATCCATTTATATATATATATAAATATAAAAAACGAGTGCTTGCTTCTACGTTGACCAGAATGAGAAAATAAATGAATGAATGTCGTTTTCTCTTATTTAATCGGTCATATATATATACATATATGAGACGATCTATTTTTTATAATAGTGTAACTAAACTTGTCTTTTTTTTTTTTTTTTTCGTTGAAATAATAAATAATAATTATTGTAATTTACCTTTCTCTTTATTTTTATGTATATATGATGAGATAAGAGACGTTGGGAGGATACTGTCGACAAACTTAATAATTATAAATTGAAATAAATGTATGACGAAAGAAAAAAAAGTTTTCAAATAAATAAGAAGCAATTATTGAAGTAATAAAATTTTTGACGACAACAAAGAAGACGCAATCGATATATTCTATATGTAAAGTAAGTGATCTGATTGCGAAGCAATATCGTAAGAGCTTCGCGTATGGCAGTGTCGCCGATAATGATGTTGGTCTATGTGTTGCTTCTTTCTTCTTTTCGCCTCAGTTTTTTTTTTGTGTATGTGCTACTACCCTGAAAAGGAGAAAGGGAGAGACAGACAGAGAGAAAAAGAAAGAAAAAAAAAATTGACAATATGATTTCTTCTCTCGTTTCTTTTATGTATCTATATCGTCGTTGTTGTTTTTATTCTCCTTCCGGTACGGTCAATCTGATATATATATATATATATATGTAACAAAAAAAAATAAACGTGTAAATGCACAAATAAATACAAAAAATGTATTTATATATTTGGGAGAAGAAAAAACAACGAAAAAAAAATGACTAATTATTGATGAATGAATGAAAAATATTTAATTAGTAATATGGAAACTCGGGATTTTATTCTTTCTTTTTAATCTTTTTTTTATTGCGAAATTAATCGGTAAGATATTAGTAAATGTGATTTATCATTGTAAATCGTCATATGTATAATAAAGGATTGACTGATTTTTGTCTGTTAAAGAAAACTGTTAATTTCTATATGAATCATTAATGAATTGACCAATCTAATAGTTAAAAGATGATTAAAATATAATTCTAATACAAAAATTCAAACAAAAAATTAAATTCAAGTTTTATAATCATTAATTATATTTTTCTTATTGTTTATAGAAAAAAAAGAAGACAACCATGGATGTCGCTCTAGTACAGTTATTTAATATTTTCTACTATATAATAGGATAAAATACTGAGATACTATAACTTTATAAAATAAACTAAAATATTATCCATATACAGTGGATATAACATTATATGATCTAGCATGAAATAATATTCTCGTAAGGAGAACTCTCTCATCATTTATTTATTTATTTATTTTTCTTTATAGACACTTTTTTTTTTTCGTCGACCTTGCTTTTGTTTGTCTTATGGATATATATGTCCTTCGATTTTATGCTACTAATAATTCAATAATTATTCTACCATACATTGTTCTTTTGTATTTTCATTAATTTTTATTTATTGATATTGAAGAATGGTTTCTATATTGATTTTTAATCTTTACATATCATATATCATAAAGAATCATTAAAATAATGAATGTGAAAAAAATGAATATTTTCATAGTAGACGAACTATTCTATGGCATTGTTTCGATAAATTAAAGAATAAAAATAATCATATGTATATTTTTAATATATATTTAAAATATTGCAAGTACTGTACATATTATCAATTCTTGCAGCAAATGTCGTCAATGCTTATTAATCTATAAAATAGTATTCAGAAGAGAAGCATAAATGTTATTAATATAACATATGTTTGAAGACATGAATTGTCAAATTACAAGATTCATCAAAGAAAATTCTCAATAAAACATATAGAAAAGCAAATATAGATGTCTAAAATGTTTTATCAATATTTAGAAGAGTTAAATTAAGACCGAAAAAATAAGATAGAATTGATTTTAAACTATAATACATAATCAAATATAATCATCTTATCGGATAAATATATCGAAGTTTTGATTTCATAAAAAAAGATCAATTAAATATTTATATCATGAAATCGGAAAACATAAGAATTATCTATTCTTTATTAATTGATAAAACAAAAAAAACTTCGATAACTTTATTTTACATGTTCGTTAAAATCGTTTCATTTTCACTTGTTTCTTCATATATCGATTTTTCTCTCCTGTTCTGTCGTTGCTGTTTACAATCATGTCATCAACCCCGTTGGCAGTAGCAGCAGCAAGTAAAAGAGAAAGTTTAATTCAAAAAAAAAACAAAAACGACAAAGAATAGTGAGAACTCCCGTTTGTTCTCTTCTTCACCTACATTTTTTTTCTTCCATTGTGTTCTGTAACTGATCTTATTGCACACGTTGTTGTTACTATTACTATACATATACACACACAAACATACGTACACTTATAGAAATTAAATTTTTGAACGCAATATTTCAAAAAAAATAAAAAAACAAAATGGTAGATCTACCACCAGTTAAACAATCTGTTACTATTACAACGACTAATGAACTTAAATCACGAGCATTTAAAAGTAGCATAGGTGTTCTACCAATTCGTCGTAGTGAATCAATACCGGAATTAAATTTAGTTCATTTACGTGGACGATCAGTCACAGCAGCAGGAGGTAATAATGATGATTTAGCAAGTAGTCGTGTTGGTACGAATACTCCAGTAACACCAAGACGTCCAGTACCTTTAGCAGAATCTATTGAAATTAATTTTATTGAACGTCGTGAACCATTACCAGCAATTTTACCTATGGTTGGTACAACACATACAGCTACACTTCAAGAAAGACAACCACAAAAAAAACCTATTATTCAAGTACCAGCAGTAAAGAAACGAAAAATTGATATAGTTGTTGGTGAACCTGAACAACTACCACGAACTACACCACGATCTGTTGTTAATCGTATGGTTCATGAAGCACGATTATTAACTCAATCAATCGGTGGCGATCGTACAACACCACATAGTCGATTATCTAGTAAACAACAGTAAGAAGAAATTTGAACATTTCTTTTTGTTTGTTTTTTTTAATAAACGAAAATTCTTTTAATTAGATCTTATGGTACATCATCAAGTATGTCAATAACTCAACAACAAGCTATAACAACGCCAAGTGATGATCCAACACGTGCAGCAGTTGAAAATTTAATAGCATCAATAAAATCTAAACAATTACAAGAAACTCAACGACAATCTGATCGTAAAATTCTTGATATTATACATCGTGTACTTGGTAGAACAATTGATCTTGTTTATGATGAAGATGAACAAGAAAAAATTCGTCAAGAACAAGAACAACAAATAATTAGTGAAGAAGAAAAACGAATACCTATAATTATTGAAGAAGAAAATGTGAGTGTTAATTTACGAGCACCAGATGTAAGTCGAATGGATCTTGACATTGACGATGAAAACGATCAAGAAGACGAAGAAAGAGAATATGAAGATATTGATGAAAAAGATAAAACTATTGATAAAATTAAACTAATAGATGAAGATGAAAAAATTGATATGTCAAATGATCCACTCTATCGTCGTATGTTATTAGGAATTTCAGATGAAGATTTATTAAATGTACAAGGTACTCGAATAAATGTACCAACACCAATATTTCCAAAAAATCAAGCATTACCTACTAAAAAAATTAAACATGATGATAAAAGTATTCATCATTTTTGTATTCAAACAGCTGATGACAAAAATATCATGTCAAAAGAAGTTCGAGCCATTACTCAATTATATCATGAACGAGCTCGATTTCGACATAAATTACCTATGTCTGCTACATATTATAAACATGGACAATTACCAAATTTTCCAATTAAGGAAACAAATGAGAATGAAGAAAATGAAGAAAATGAACAAAAAATGTAAGTTTAATTCTAACAAGAATATTTTTTATATTTACTCTATCAAAAATAAGATATCATGTTTTTTTTTTTTTGAAAAGCCATTACAAAATAAGAATATTTATAAATGTGATATACCGAAAAAAATGAATAAATCTCATACATTAATAATAATAATAATTACTTTGAGTTCATACACAATAATTACACGGATATTCAAACAGTTTCTTATTCACACTGTAAAAAAGAAAACTGTAGAATAATAAACTATTTTAGGGTTTATGACAGTATCATAAACTCTTCAAAGGTTTATGAAGCTAATAAACTCTTTTCGTAAGGTTTACTATTTTACGCTTGTTTTTTTGCGGTATAGCGTTGAGGGCCAAGAGAACGGCGCCCAATTCGAAAATCGAATTGGCTCTCCCAAAAATTGGTGTTCTCCTTCTCCTAGTTTTAAATCATCCTTCTGGAACACAAAATATTGTTCGCAAAATATTGTTTTTAAACTCACCAGTGCGAGTGAAGAAAAGACCTACATGCATACTCTTCGCGAGCGACTGTATTAGTAACCACATATCCGTGCGCAAATGTCTGAGACGCAGTTAAATTTTCTAAACACCTTGTATTGAACGTTCTACTGTAGGAAGTTAATGAGAGAAAATGATGATAGAATTCGGCGGTTCCAAAAATTTGGAACTGAGAATCAAACCGAAACTGTTAAATTATCAGATAGATACAAAAATGCTTAAATCTATGTCGAGAAATCTTCAATTTTTCATTCTTGGGATTAAAGGTTTTCATAATATTGTTTTGATTAAGTATTGAAATATGTGGCGTCTATAATCTCAATAAATATTTAAAATTTTCGCATCTATCTGATGATTTAACGGTTTCAGTTCCGAATAAGTTTTCGAACCACTGAACTCTAATATAAACGGAGAGATTTTCTATATTCTTTTATTTTATTAACTTGAGATCATGGAAGAAAAGTAGAGATGTTTTTCAGTAATCTGAAGATAACTAAAATTTATCACTTTGTGTCAATTAAATCGAACAAAAAAAGCCTTCTAAATAAACTTTGGCTACCATATCTGATACAATAATTATTTCTCATTGAAATAAAGAAAACCTGAGATAAAACTATTTTATCTTCATTGTGTATGATTTTCTAGAAGTTTTGAAACTTTCAATTCAAAAAGCTGTATTTTCTAAAGCATACAGCACTGAGCAAATGAGTATTCCCTTTAATTCTCTACAAGAGGGTTAGTTTTCATTATTCATACATTAATCTCATAGCAATAGCTATGATGAACATCTCTACAATGCAAAGAGATAAACGATAAATATCTTCATTTTGATTATCATATCTTCGTCAGAAGTCTTGACAGACAGTAGTATCTTTCAGTGAAATAAGATTTCCTTTCTAAGTGTTCTTTATTTTAATATTAATAATACAATGAGTTGTATAAATTTTTTTTTAGTTCATATCCAGTTCAATCGAATAATCCTTCAATTCCCTATGATGGTTTAATGTCATTAGATACTGATCTTAATGTATGGCAACGTCGTGCTGCTCAATCAGTTCAACCAAAAATTGAAGGAAGTTCTGCTCTTTCTCAAGATCCATATCTAATTCGTTTATGGACACCAGCACCACCAAAAATGTATATTCATCCACGTCGTATAAAAGAACGACTTTTTGTTGATTATACATCTGTTAATGCAAAAGAAATTCAAGATAATGAAGATGAAGAATTAAGTATAGCCGATGAACATAAATCAATTTTTACAAATTTTAGTGAACCAGATCTATTAATTGAACAATCTTTTATTATTCCTGTTATAAAACCATATAAATCACTTGAACGTTTACCATCAACAATTGATCATAGTGATGAATTTCAAATGATTCCAACAATGATTCGATCGACTCGTTCATGTTCAGATTTAACATCAGAAACTGCAATTCGTTTTGATACAAGTTATGCATTTACATTAGATGAAACAAAACATCAAATTGAAGCTCGAAAAAATGTTAAAATTGAATCAACTGCACCAGTCTCAATTCCTTTAGATGAAACACAAGTTATATCGTCTCAATCAGTCGAAATAACAACAGATGCTAAAGAAAATCTACCGAACGAAAAAGGTAAAATAAAATAAATTTTTTGTGAAACACGATCTACAAACAGTATTGAACTATAGGGGTAAAAGTTTGGAGCCCCTCCCTATCTCTACAGACCGTAGCTGATGTCAGAAACTCCATCGCAAAAAAATTCTTCATACATCAGTAATTATACAAAAATACTTTCTCTCACCAAGTTATGAAAATATTTTAAAATGAAAAATAGACTAAAACTAGTAATGGGCGGTAATATGACATTTTGTAAACACGCAAAACAATTAATGTTTGATTGATCTCAAACTTTCTAGAATTATTCTCTAATGTCTGGTTCATCATTGTCCATAGCACTGCATCCCACTGATGAGTACAGTGAGCGCTATGAGTCTCGAAAAAATCCAAATTTTTACAAACCGGGCATCATTTTAGTTCAAAACCAAGGTGATATTCAGAATTACCTCATGGAGCTGCATCTAACCATATATAATAAAAAGTGGTTTTCTTTTTTTAGTTTTTGATCTTTATTCTAAAAACCTTCCTAAAAGTTGGATTTGACAATTTTGTAAACATTATGATCAGCTAAAGTTCAATTCAAAGTAAACTTTCAAAAAAAGTGTCCCTTCACACGAGGCCTAGCGTTGAATAGAACTATTCAACATGAACTGAGTTATTAGTTCCAGAAAAACCCTGTTTTTTTTTTGCTCTTAGAATAACATCCTTACGCAAAACGAAAGCGATATTCTCAATCATCGCGTGTAACTGGGTCGAATGATGTACAGCAGATTATATTTTCTAACAAAAAAGTGTTGCAAAAAAATGTGATCAGGGAATCCTAGAGGTGATTTTTGCACAAAACTTTTTTTAACCAAAAGATGGTTTATTTTCTTAAAGATAATTTTCCGAGTGATATATATATATATAATCACTTCTGAACAATAGCATTCCTAGATTCATGTTTTAATTCCCTAGGGATTGTACTAATAGGCTTTCAATGGAAACTTTTCTAGAATCAATTATTGATGAAAAACCTGAAGAATCATCTGGAGATTTTAAATACTTTCGAAAAACAAATCGTTCAGTACATTATGAACAATCTGTTGCTGCTGGTCGTCGATTTATATCAAGTGGTCGTCTTCGAGCAAGTCGTCGTGCTCGAAAAGATGCTCGTTTTTGGGAACGTATGGATGCTATTATTGCTATTGCTTCAGCTCCACCACGTTATCCACCTATATCACGACGTCATTCATTTCATGAAGCAATTTTTTATGAACGAAATCATCCACATATATTAAAAGAAAAATTTCGTCAACGTCGAACAAGTCTTGAACGTGATAATAAACAAAATTTTGATGAAATTATTAAAATAAAATATAAATTTGATGAAACACGTGTTAAATCAGCTGGAAGACGTTTATTAAATGAATTTGAATGGACACGTGATTTATGGTATAATTGGCTTGATGAATATATAGCTGAATTAGATAAATGTGAATCAATAAGACAAGAAATTGAAATGAAACAAAAAAATATTCTTACAACACCAATTGAAGAAACATCAATAATAACTATAGATGAAAATGAAACTGATGAAAATCAAATAAAAAAAGCATCTAATATTCAACTTGAACCAATTACAAATCTTGAATTAGCTGATAGTGAAGAACGTCGTTTAATTGAAGATGAAATACATCGTTTAACAATATTAATTAATCAAGATTCACATGATGTATTTAGTTTAACACGACGTGGAGGTTTATTAC